TGGCGGGGAGTCGCGGGATGAGTTGCCCCCCGCGCCCCCGCCGAGGGCGAGACCCGTGCGAGGGGCCGTGGGGGCGGGCGGCGGGACCGGGTCCTCTCTGCTGTCGCGGAGGCACAAGTGTGCGGGGAGCGCCCTGGGAGGTGTGGGTGGGTGTGTGTATTTCATTGGCAGTATGTGTGTCTATATAGATGTGTGTAGTTAGGTCTGCAGAAACAGACTTTAACTATGTGGGAGAAGTAGAGTTGTTTAGGCAGAAATATAACACAATGTACAAAATAATGTCATTGGCAATATCTGTCTGTCTGTCTAATAATCTCATTGGCAATGTGTGTGTATACATTTATAAAATACATTGCCAATGAGATTATTTTATATATATATATATATATATATATATATTATTGCCACTCTATATTTATTTATAGTTGCCACTGTATATTTATGAACACCATATTATGTATATATTACATACATGTATGTATGTGAGTTCATGTGTGTGTGTATAATATATATAAAAATCTCATTGGCAGTGTACATACATATATGTGTGTGTGTGTGTAATAAAATATATTGCCAATGAGATTATATGTAATCTTCAGCAGAAACCTCTTGCGCAGGCTAAATACAGATTCCTTTTCTCCCCCTTCACTTCAGCCACCTGTCTACCTAAACAACTCTACCTCTCCAACATAGTTAAAGTCCATTTCTGCAGTCCTGGTTGCCTTTCTTGTACTTTCACTCGTACCTTCAGCCTGTTCTTTAGAGCAGTGGGAGCCAACCTTTTTTGGCAGGTGTGCCACAGATTAGTCCTACACCCTCTCCAAATGCCACCCTGATCCCTTTCCACTGCTGGATTTGCTGCTCTGCTTTCTCCTCCCTACCCTGTATTCCCTGCATCATCTGCTGCTCTGTTTTCTGCTTCCTGCCCTGCTTGTCACTGTGCTGGCTGCCTCCTCCATGGTCTGGTGTGTGCCACACACACAGGCTGCCTGTGCCACAGATTAGTCACCCCTACTTTAGCAAATCTGTTTAATACTCCCTTCATCTTTCTGTGAATGGAGGGGAGCGGGAGTTGCAGGGCTCTGTGCTTCAGGTGTCTTGTTTTTTTCCTAGGCTGGAAAGTCATCCACAAATGCAACTAAAATCTTTTGGGATTACACCATTGTCCTGCCTCCCACTCAGGCCAGTGTCATTTTTAACTCTGACTTCTGTCAATCTTTTGTGGACTTGAGGCATGCCTAACTGGACTTGAGGCACTCCTCCATAACTTTTGTGAATTGAGTGACACCCAATTTCAAAAGCTAATATATAGATTACAGTACTTACTTCCTTGCAAAGGTGCCTGGCAGTGGGGATGGGGGATCAGCCATGTTGGTATAAGCCTGAGCCTGTGCTTATCTGCTTAGTTCATTTGTTTATCTCCTAACCCTCACTCATCTCACACTTCATGGAACCCTTCAGAAGACCTGGTGGTATCCTGGGGTGCCCCAGCAACCTGGCTGAGAATCACTGCTCTAGGTCCTTGTGTTCAGCCCTTGTCTAACTTTCTTTCTACATAACATCTCTTAAGACATGGCATTTCCAGTGTACTCCTGCATTTCCATACAGCTAAAACTGTCATCTTCATGCATCACTAAAATTTCTTTTGCCCTGGCCATGACAAACACAACTTAGATCCACTCAGATCCATACAGAACGCACTTGCAAAAGTCATTTTTGCTAGCACATCACTTTGACATGTTACCCCTCTTTAAATCCCTTTACTGATTCACTCTTCTGGGTTGCATGGAAGATAAGCTGGAAGTTTTACTTTCAGTGTCATTCACAGCCTATTCTTACACAACCTTTCATCTCTTCATCACCATTGAGATCTTTAATCCTGTTTCTGGTTGGCCTGTGATGCCATCATTTGCTTTTTAAATTTTCAGACTACCATCTTCATATTTCCCCCCATGCTATCACTATTACTTTGGAGGAACTCCCATTAAGCAACTTCAAGGTTACCTCACTGCTGTCCTCATTGCACTGGCAGGGCCAGGGGGCTGTTTTCTACTTCAGCTATTTAGTGGGTCAGGACTGGCCATCAATGTTTGCAAATGGATCCTGGTACAAAAAGATTGAGAACCACTGCTCCTGAGGCTGGAGCTGCCTCCTGCTGTATAGCTTTTTCTACCCTTCCCCTGCGATGCCCCTCCTGGAAACATAAGCATGTGGGTGGAACTGTCCTATGCACCTCTGCTCCTGGGAGGAGCATGGAAGAGTCTGAACTGGGAAGAGCTACAGCCAAGCCAGCTCCTGTCTGCTTTAGACTGATCAAAGAGCCCAAAGGAAGGATGTGGAGCAGCTCTACCCAGTTGCCACCATGGGACTCTTGAAGGGGGTTCTTGGCATCCCTGGGGTGAGAACCACTGATCTATACCTAGCTCTTGCCTCCTACACTTATAGTGCAAACTCGCATCATTTGTATCTGCACAACTACTAGCATAGTGGGATCCTGTCCTGTAATTGCTTCTCCTAGGAGTTATGATAATAGAAATAACAATTCTTAGTCAGGAAAGAGTTTAATGAAAAACCTTCAAAGCACATGAGACTTTGTTGCAATTTTTTTAAGGTGACTTAGCGTGAGTGACAGAACTAGATGTAACATCAAGAGGACTTCTACTTGAGCTGCATCAGATTTGCATTTTTACGTTGCACACGTTCATATATATATGATTGCCTTTTGTTTCAAGTGCTCAGGGGAACTATTCTGCTCATTTCTCTTGACCCCTTTTGTAACACAGGCCATGAATCCTCACCCTGTAGTTTTTCTGGCAGGTCCATACTTTCTCTGCACTAGCCAGAGCCATACAGCAGGCAGCATGAGTGGTGCAGGCTGCACAGAGCACAAGAAAACAAGGGGCACAGTCAGGCTAGTGCCTGAAAGTATAGTTATATAAGTGTAAGGCATTGTCTGAGGCATACAGGCAGTTGTGTGACAACTGACGCTGTTTCTTTCTAGTTCGGGAGCTAGCAATGCTGCAGTGAGGCTAATTTGCTCTGCCCTGAGAGAAGAGAGGGACATGCCCTGCTGGGGAATGATCACATAAAAGCGTGAAGGTAGAGGTGAGGATAAGGGACACGAATACAAAAATCTTCTGGTATGCCTTTGTTTATAATATATCATTTAGAAAGGCATCAAGTCTTGATTTAAAGTCTTTAGGTGATTGAGATACCACCGTCTCCATTCCCTTTTAAATATTTACATATTATTTCTAGCTTGAATTTGTCTAGCTTCAGCTTCTAAGCGGTGGATTTTATTATGGGTTTTTTTCTGTTATGTTAAAGAACTGTACTGTCAGAAATCTCTTCTCTGTGAACTAAACACCACAGCTGAACACAGTATTCCTTCAAAGGTCTTACTTATTCCAGGTACCTCCTGATTCTGACTTGGTATTCCCTTGTTTGTACACTCAAGGGTTAGGTTCACCCTTTTAACTACAGTATTGCATAGGGAACTCATGTTCAGTTCCAGTGTACATCCTCAAGTTACAGCCTACATGTGTTAGGACACTCCATATTCTATATTGAGGGTGTGTCCACACTTCTAGTTGCACTAGTTTAGCTAAACTGGTTGAACAAAATGCCGTAGTTGAACAAAATGTAGACCAAACCACAGTTTGAACACTCAAGATAACTTCTGTCAAGTTGCTCCTAATTTCACAATAAATCATATATTTTTTCTATGATTTAAAAACAAGTTAGCTGAGTTTCACTTGATCCTAAATTTCTTTTATCTGTGAATCTTTATCACCTTGCACCCGATGCTTAGCTTACATTTAAAATCAACTTGTGCATTGCATTTTCCATGCGTCATTTAGGTTGTAAATTCCTCAGGAAAGAGGTTACTTGTGTGTGTGAGTGCTCTGTACAGTGATGTACATGTTATTGGCACTAACGTACGTTGGGTTGGATGGAGATAAGTTTGAAGTTTCATTCACAAAATTCTGCACAGCTCTGCTGCTTTTTAGAAAGAGGACTTCCTGTTTTGAAGCATTCATAAGAAAATGTTGATGCATCTTAACAAAACAGGGGTTATATGGATTAAAACTAATTTTAATGAACACATATAGAAGCAGATAAGAAGCCAGAGGGGAGTTTGGCATTTAATGCATATGTGTACAGCTTCTTTATGGAACAGAAGAATTCACCATTATCTAGGGGATTAAGAAATGCTCATTTAAAATGAAATTGTTATTAAATTCACCCATAATAATAAGAAAAGTTGGTTTTTGTAAATTTTCAGAATGTTTCACTCAGCAAAATAGGAAAGTTCCTTTTCTTCTTCTTGTTTCTTAGATGAAAACCCAAACAGTCTCACTTTTTCATAATAAAGGTTTTGTAAGTCTTTCTCTAACTGAGTGTTCTGAAATCATATTTCTAGAACTGCTTGTTTTTGTTTTGTTTTTTTTACAATGACAGCTTTTAGCTTCCAGAAACATCAAGGACAATTAACAAAATGTTAAATTAGTAACTAAGTAAACAACATTACCATTTTCACTCATTTCTACTGTTTTATGGTGCTTTCTGTCAGGTACTGTCTCGAGAGTTCTTTGCAAGGCAACATATAAATGCAGAGATAAATGTCTCTTTTGCTTGTCTTGTAGAATTTTTGATCCATCTTCAGTTCTCTAGCACAAGGAAAATTGAAGCGTTGTTAGGCAGAAGATGCTTGAGCAACCAAATCTGCTTCGTAGACCTTTACCTCCAAAGCTGTTACCTGAGCTGTGTATACCAAGGAAAAAGACTCAGAAAGGTAAATAGTATATAAACAAATACTCTACAAATTCTCAGAACTTAATATCAAAGGAATATGTAGCAAATGATTAATTTTATCTTTAAACGTTCAGTTCAATACCATATTATTTGCAGAATGATAGCAACTGGAATACTTTACCCCTGAGATTACTCTGTTAGGTAAATTGAAGTTTCAGGTTTATTGCTGTGTGAATAGCCCGGAACATGATCTCTGCATATTTCTTCTGTTGAAGCTGTTCCACTTTGTATAAAGTGATGAAATATTTATTGGAGCAAGCACTGTAACCCAGGTGTTCCAGCTTCTAAGTGAATTCCTGAACCAGTCGACTGTAAAGACATTGTTATTTGCTTGCCCAAAAAATATTTATGACAGAGGAAAGATTTAGCATGAGATACTGAAGGTGCTGAGAAAGATGAGACAGGATGGAGCTTAGATCATATGTGGAAATACAGGGAGGTATAACTGGGATTCAGAGGTGATAGAAAAAACAGATTTTGGGGGGGTGATTCTGTCCTTATACTTTACAACTATATAAGCAGACACTTGCATATATATGCCATAGGTCATAGTGTTCTTCAAGGAATGGAGACGTTATGGTTAAAAAAATATACTGGTAATCAGTGGCACAGCACAGTTCAGAAATATATGTACCTTTTGCATGCTTGTATGTATCATCATAAGACGTTGAGTGGGTAAGGTAACTAGTAGGGTGAAAGTGCTAGACTTTAGGAAAGCTGATTTCAATTAACTCAGGCGATTAGTCAAGGACGCACTGCAGAGTAGGAGTTTTGAAGAGATGGGGGCCCAGCAAGGGTGGGTGTACCTTAAGGAAATGATCCTTCGGGCACAGAGGGAGACGATCCCGATGCGAGGAAAAAGGGGCCAGGAGGCTTCCTTGGCTGACCAGAGAAATCCAGGGCAGCCTACGGACTAAAAGGGGAGCATATAAAAAGTGGAAACGGGGAGAGATTACCAAAGAGGAGTATACCTCCTCTGCTCGCACTTGTAGGGAGGGCCAAAGCTACCATGAATTAGACGGACCAAAGCTACCATGGAGCTGAGGATGGCATCCCAAGTAAAGGATAACAAAAAATTGTTTTTTAGATATATAGGGAATAAAAGGAAGGCCCAGGGTGCAATAGGACCCCTACTAAATGGGCAGAAGCAATTGGTGACGGACAGGGGGGACAAGGCTGAACTCCTCAACGAGTTCTTTGCCTCAGTGTTCCTAAGTGAGGGGCAGGACAAGGCTCTCACTGGGATTGTAGAGAGGCAGCAGCAAGGCACCAGACTGCCATGCGTAGACCCTGAGATGGTGCAGAGTCATTTGGAGGAACTGGATGCCTTTAAGTCGGCAGGCCTGGATGAGCTCCATCCGAGGGT